GCACAATTTGTTCCACTCTTACTTCTTCTGCACTTCTTCTTTACCATGATTGGTCAGGCGATCTCTACTGAGATACAAGAGTCAACGGACCACAAGGGCACTGGAAGACTCAGCCTGGTTGAAAGAACGGAAGTTTCGCAAACAGCTGTGGCTGACCTTTTAATTACATGTAAAAAGTATGGGAAAGAAAACCAGATGGTTTTTGACTTGGTAATTTTTTAATGCTGTCAAAAATGACGGAGGCGGTTTACGGCAGAAGACCAATCGTGTCAAGAAAACCAGATGGTTTTTTCTCTGCTGTCAAAAATGACGGAGATGGTTTTTGTCCGTGCAATTTTTTAATAATTGATGGACGCAATCGTGTCAAAAATGCTGTTGAAAACCAGATGGTCTTTTTAATTAAGTGATGGATATGGTTTTGGTCCGTGTAATTTTTCTCCGGACTTGTGAAAATTCCATTGCATTCACTCGTGGAGACAGACAGACAGACATAGCAACACAGTTATCATAGTTATACGAAGGCCCTTTTTCTAAATGTTACACTGTCTATAACCGCTAATACTACATTTCCGGGAATTATTTCCCAAGACCAAACGGTTTTCGCGCCGTAGTTAGTCTACACGGGCTACAAATTTTGCGTGGTTTTCTTACGGTGTGACTCGTAGAAAGTGCGGACAACATAAAACTTTCTGGAATCGGTATTGTATACTTATACCGATTATATATGTCTGTTGGGAATTCACGTGCGCATGTAAGAACTAATGAAGTACTATTGGGACTAACAAAGTACTTGGAGAAAATCCAGGTTTATATGGATTAAAAAAGTGGTCTTCAGGAACACCCGGCAGAACGATGATTTTTGTCATTGTTCGAAGAGCGGACAGACCTTCTTCAGTCATTTTCGAAATCCATGTGATCACGTGGGATAAGAAGAATAACTCATACTTAAGAGCAAAAGCTAATGATGACCAATTATGATTGGTTCAGACAGAAACGATGAGAAGCGACCAAAGCGATGAGAAGCGACCACAACGCGATCAGAAGTGAGCAAAATATCGTTCCAAATGGAAATGACAGAAATAAATGAAGAATAGATGAATAGACTTAAAGCCTATAGTGCGACTGCTATTTCACAAGAAGATAAAGATCAATTCAGGTAAAACAACGTGCAGTGAGAAAAGCGATCGTTCATCACTTTTCCATGCAAATCTCTAGAATTATCGCAGAACGCTGATGACTCAGCATTCTCTACGTTAAATCAATGGTGTGTAGCGGTTCACGCACAGGCAACGCGTGCAAGGCACAGGCTACACTTCAACCTGGTAATCCTATAGGTCGAGTCACGAGTCCCGTTCCTATTAGAATTCTGTCACTCCCCAAATGGGGCAAAGTGAGAGGACCTATTCCTCTTGATCAGCAGTATCACCAGACCAGAACATTAGAGTCCGTAATAGTGGCCAGATTTGCTGATGGCCCCGATGCTTGCTGAGAATATCAGCAGGGTTAAGAACACCGTCAATGTGGATAAAAGATAGCATGTTACATGCTACTGCTTCTCTCACACGGTGGAACGACAATGCAACATGCCCCTTGTGTAGCTTTGCTTCAGGTCGGGAAGAACTGTTCACAACACATTCATTGTCACCAAACATGTAGCTTTGACCTTTGATTGGCACACCAAGGTACCTCAAGGTCTGTTGAAGATCCATGATCTGTTTGACATAGGTTTGAGTGGCTACAAACTCAGAACCATAAG